AAGACAGAGAGAAGGAGAGAGAGAGAGAGAGAGAGAGAGAGAGAGAGAGAGAGAGAGAGAGAGAGAGAGAGAGAGAGAGAGAGAGAGAGAGAGGGGGGGGGGAGAACAGTACGTCGCACAATTTATTTACAGACAAACAGACCGGAGACTACGACCAGACTTCAGGAATCTATGACGTAGGTCGGTAAATGGAGAAGTAGGCTAGGACATCTGAAAATGACACTGTGATTATGTTTAATGCCAACGCGCAAGCAACGTGCGGGAGCGTCACGAATGACGCAGTTCACAACATCTATTTCCGGAACGTTCTGAAATTCTTCTAGAAATTTAATGTGTCGCCAAAGACTGTAAAAATCCATGGCAAGAGAGAGAAATAACATTTCTACGCAACAAAAAACTACTCTCCCACCTAACCCTCAGATATCCATGAATAGCAACCCGAGACCTTGACAACCACAAAGTTTTAGTATAGTTTTAGTTCGAGTTTTATGGCACTTGCAACACTATTAGGTCACAAAAGTGCTTAAGAATACAGATGTCATTAAAGAGGAACAAAGAGAAATCAGAATAACAAGAGTTTGCAGAAATTAGGACACGTTTCCAAGCAGTAAAAGTGAAAAATAGCACCCCCCCCCCTCTTCTTCCTCAGGCGCCATAAACAGCATCATGCTTACGGGTTCTCCACCACTATCCTATGAAAAATTAATAAATGTAAGACGAAACTAAGTGGGAGCGGGGGTGGAGGAGGAGAATTATGTCAAGGTTCAACTAAAAAAAAGGAGGGGGGGGGGGTGGAGAGAAAGAATGAAAGAGGACAGAGTAGAAAAAAAGTAACTTATTTGGTGCTAGGACGTGGCTATATGGATGCACGCTCAAGGCTCGCATTAACAAACAGTAACTTTATCTTTGAACAAAATAAATTGCATCTGAATTAGTTCGTAATACACCACACACGCTTATTATGCAGCCTGTGGTGCGATATACTACGGTGATAAACTTAAATCATGGACATGACTATTGATGCTCACATCGCTAGTCATTTCTTTTCATCAAACAGATCGTCAAAGCGTCTTGACGTTTGCCCCATATCTATTATTTGCATGCAGTACTCGCACAGACCTATTTTTCTACAGAATGGCTGGGTGGAATTAAATAAGGGAGACGGAAGGGGTCTAATGGTGAAGGGGTTCGTCGTAAGAAACGCGCACATCAGGGTACAGCAAGAAAATAAAAAGGACGCAGGGTTTGACAAAATCAATGCCGAGTGCTCGCGACTGAAGTGACGCCGGTGATACGGGGGTGCTCGGCGGCGAGTAGTGCACCATGCCGGGGGGGAGGAGAGGGGAAAAAACCCGGTCAAATTAAGGAAAGGAGGGGGGGGGGAGAGAATAATTCGTGACAGGCACTGCCAGAACCTTGGAGAAGTTTCTCAATGCTGGGCATGGATGTAGTTAATGCAACCTCTGATCTCAGAGTTTCGATTATTGAAAACAGCCTCTTTTCTACAAGATTTAGTACGGGTTCAACGCCCCTTACAACGCTGTAAGGTTATATAATAGGAGGGAGCTCCTTGGTTGTTTTGGTTAAGTGAAAGCATATTAAAATTAACACAAAACAGTCATTTATATGAAAAAGCAAAAAGTGATAAACAGAAACTGCAGCAAGAGAGCGTCAGGAAACGGGGCAACCTTAATATTTTTCTCCGAAAGGAACGATTTTTGGTTGGTCGATGGAGAGCCTTGAAAACAGCCTAAACAACTAATTTGGCTCAAACCAGGGTCAACTGCACTATAGCCCAGGGAGATACAAAAGGCTGAGTCTTGAAGGGTAATGCAGCAGATTCTAGTCAGGTTTTCTAAAGAAAGAATGGGGAAAAATTAAATAAAAAGCCACGTGCGCCAGTATTTAAGGAGAAGAATTTCTCAAATTTATTTCTACAACAAAAATCAACACCCAATATCAGCAAGAGCCAAGAAAGAAAGAAAAAAGGTGAGCAAAACCAACACACACACACATACATGTATATACATATGGCCTCCAGTCAGCTATAAGGGAGCGCTGTTCAGAAACATTGCGCAAGTGAGTACCACACATCCACATCAGAGCTTTGGGTACTTCAAACAAGAAGTGTGCTGCACTCTACTGCCACTTTAGGTTGTGGAAGGCGGAAGTAATCTCATGGCATGGAAACACGAAATGGCGAAGCTGAGCTATAGGTTATGGAGAGCCAGGAGAACGTGCGCGTGGTCGGAAAGCGCTTGGTGTGAGAGTGGGGACACATTTGTTTTCTTTTTATTTCTCTGTCTCTTTTATCTTTTTCCATGTACTAAATGGTCGTTGGAAGCTGATGTGCTTTCTTTATTCAAATTCACTGGGGAGGGACCAGGGCGTAACGAAGACGCGTTACCATAAAAAGGAAGATTAATGCTACAAAAGTAATGCTGAAAAGAATAACATTCTTTATTAATAATTTTACATTATTTACATCATAGTGACATGATTCATTCTGCATGCTCACAACATCACAAGATACCAGCAAGGAAGATATGATGCTGTGCCTCCTCTTACCATTTCTCGTTTTCATGCTTGTCTAAATGAGTTGCAGTTTACTGCAAGTTCTATTTTCATATGAGATTTTTAAAGTTTTAGTAGAGGTTTTACGGCACTCGCAACTGCATAAGGTCATATGAGCGTCAGAAGACTAGAGGGGTTACAAGAGAGTAACAAACATAAAAAAGAAAAAGGGGAGATAAGGACGATAGATGTTTGATAGGAAAGAAGAAGCAAACCACACCAGAGCACCCGCCAACCACCCACTTTCATAAGAGTGTTATGACATTTGCATGACAATTACATCATAAAAGTGCTGAAGATTACAGGTGTTACAAGAAAATAAAAACACAAAAAAGGGGGAAAGATAAGGACGATAGACGTTTAATAGGAAAGAAGGGGCAAACACCATCTGACGACCCACCAACCTCCCACACTGTGAATTTGCACCCCATATTTTGTCAGGATAGGTCTGAGTAAAGACGGAAGAACATTGACACAGTAATAGTCAATTAGTCATTTAGTGCTGGGGAAAAAACAAAACAGCCAGACAAAAAGAACAGAGGTCATGACGAAATAAGAATATACAGTCGAACCTGCTATGACGGCCACCTATACAGACGGCCATTTTCCATTCCACCCCCCCTTGCGTTTTTTCTATATAATTAAACCGGCCAGGCGTGGTCTCTATAATCAGCCCCCGACGCTGTGGACGGGCCCTCATAATCCATTCACCAGTCATTATTGTTAGATCTAGTCCTTCCAAGTTGATCAATGGGTAACAATACATTTTCAACTGCTGGTGAGGGAAGCGGGTGTCCGTCATAAACTATAAGGCCCGCCCACAATTCAAACAAACTGTACACGAAGTGACTGGTCACTGTTTTGTTTAACTAATCTGGGTAAAAAGTAACAATGGACGTTAACGAGAACTTGCGACAAAAGCGTTGCTCGTTCCCCGAGTTGAGGCAAACCAGTGTTTGTTTTACCATGACACTCGGTCTTCGTCTTACCTTTATTTTTATCCTTGTACAAAAAAAGCAAACAAAACCCTAACCAGAAAACACCCCCAAAAACCCAACAACAGAAAAACCTCTTCTTACACTCCCCCACCTTCAAAAGAAAACAAAAAACCCTTTTGAATTGGCCCTATGTCAGTTCTAAGCCTGAATGAGCCCCGGTTTGGACTTCATAAGGGAATAGTTTATTTCTTCATTTTGATCAGTCCTGCCTAAGACGGCCACCTGTGTTATACAGCCACTTTTCTCCATGACAATACGTAGCCGTTCTACACAGGTGCAACGTATATACTTCTTTTCGGGCTGTGCAGAGAACATTTGGGTTTACACAAGCTGGGCAATGGACAGAACATGTGAGGAAAAGAAAGAATTACCATTTTATTCATGCTTAATCTGACATTAGACCAGACCTGCACTCACAGAATGCTTATCATGGTGCTGATGATACAAAATGGAACTACAGAAGAACAGGATGATAAACTAAAAATACATAATAAATGATTGCTCTACAGTTACAACCATAGCAAATCACAAAGAGATTGGAGGCCACCCAATGGAATTTGTAAACATTTCAGACTAAGCAAAGAAAAAAGACATGCAGATTATTCGGAAGTATAAAGAAACCAGACAATGTAAAGCAACAGAACCAGTATAGGATACTTATCACTGGATCACAATTCTGAGACACGGCTGAAAACAACACATGCCTGGACAAAGACATGCACTTCTGCTGGGTCCCATTTCACAGACTATACTACACTGAAAGCCCATGGCAAAGCCGAAAACTCTGACCATTTGACCTAAACTAAGTCTTCACATCATGGGCTTACCACAATGGAAAGGTGTACCACTACTAGACATCCAATTTATCCAATTTTACAAATGTTAAAAAGAAACAGTTCGATTAAACGTAAAAAAATACAGTGTTCTGGAAAATAAGTAAATACAAAGAACAAAACAGAACCCCCCCCCCCCCAAACATGCAAACATACCGTTACCTCTGAACTGCTAGAATTTATTTTCATGTTTGACCAAGATACAATTAACCAGCTTAATGTGCTTCAGAAAATATTGATTCTACATGATAAGTTTTAACTTCATCAGCCTTCCAAATAAAGCAAGCTCAAGAGTTACTAACACTTTGCAGTTATACAGCCAGCAGTATAAAAATACCCCATCTGGTCATCCAGCTAAGAGAACAACTGCAACGGACTTCTCAGTCCTGGCGCTGAACGTGACCAGAACGGATAATCTTTAAAGCATTAAAGCATGTCTTAATTTCAATAAAAAATTGAGTTTTGCTTAGAGTGGTGAATCTGTTTCTTCTCAAAATATGTAAATGTAAATGAGCATGAACACTTCTGAGGCAACAATATGTTGGTGTGTGTGATAAGCCTACCTTGAATGCTAGCCTGGTTGTCCTGTACGAGAGCAATGTGCTGATTGGTCAGTTTCCATACAGGAGGCCGCAGTTTCACCTCTATACTAGCACAAACTTGACTCTCTCCATGGAGAAAGTAGTGGAAGCAAAAGCTTAAATGCACACTGAAATAAACAACGGAAATTCAATAAAAATGAACATCATCCAGTTACAATTAGCTTCAACATGCAAGTTAAAAAGTGAATTTGCTGGTTGACCAAAAGGAACCCTCCCACAGGACCCATGATAGCATGTCCTTTCTCATAAAAAGACTGTTTAACAGTTGTGTGCCCTAACGTTCTTCAGCAAAGAAAACTCAAACCAAATAACAGATCTGTTTCAGAAAATAACCGAATTATGTTCAAAGTTGACTTTCTGCTACGTTTTCTTTTGCAAAGACAATTAATAGAAGGTAATGCAAAAATACGATAAATGCATGAACATAAAAATCTCTCATTCAAGTTTTATAAGACTAATATTTATTTTTCAATTCGTAATCTTAGCCACCCCCTACCTCCCTCGCCTGTCGTTATGAATAGCAAAAACATGTGAAGTGAGTCCAAGTGAAAAAAAATATTCAAGAAAATGGGTATTCATAATTGGATAACGACCACAGTGGAATTATAAATAAAAACCTATAGTGTTACAAATTCTAAATTGAATTCTCTCACATAAGAGAGACCTTTATTAAAGCTGATTGCTGTTACAGGAGAAATCATAGCAAGCTATCAAAATAGTCTTTCAAATTTGATACAACAGCATATATAATGACACACATACCCAGTCTCTCCTGATCCATGCTCGTATGGTAGGACATACCATCTCCCAAGGCGCACAAAATTTTTGAGTAGCAGATTTCTGAAAACAAGAAACAAACTACTGCTGAAACCAGACCAACAACAGCGTACAGTCGATACAGATGGTACCTGCCACAAACCATTTATATAAAACTTATTACAGAGAACTTCCAGTTCCAGGAAGGGGGAGTGTGTACAGAAAGCACTGGAGGGAAGCAGCAATTATTTTGAGTAGTAGGTTCAACTCTTGGCACAGTGGGGCTAAAAAGCTCACTCTAATCATTACAAGCTTTTAAAGAACTTAATCTAGAAAAGGGAAAAAGAATGCAGTCACTTCTTTGGAACGAAGTCTGACTCCAACAAAATTTTACACGATCATGTTCACAAACCAGAGATAAAAACTACAAAGCAATTTTGATGAAAAATAATAGAAAATCAGTCCCTTTGACAACAGTCTTCGAAGTCGGAAATGCACATCATAAATGTATTCTTCTTACCACTTACTTTTAAAACAAAAAGAACTCGTTGACAATATTGTTTACAATTAGACCAAGAGGCTCTACAAAAAAGACAAAAAGTTTAATTTCATTGGGGGGGCATCCAGAAAGGCACATTACAACTTCTAAAGTATAATTATTTACAACAATATGCCATGCCTTTCAAACTATTTAAAAATTATAAGCTTAATAAATAACTACAATACACTTTTGGGACTGGTCAGTTCCATGAAACTAGCCAAAATGCAGGAGAATTTAGGGAACATGCAGCCAAAGTGAAACTACCTGTGTTGCAAATCCAAAGCAAACCATAAACCCTATGCAAAAGAGTGACGACGAAGAATGTCACAATGGGAGAGGAATTCCCTGCTTTCGTTTGAAAGGGGCAAAACAATTGAAACAACCAGACTGGGACGTGATGGAAAACGCACTGCTTATAGGACAGATGTAGAACCATCAAATACTGGAATGATGTTATCACCTCAGAATTTTTTTTGCTCCGACTACAAACAAAATACTTTTATAGAATGCATGTCTTGAGGATACCCAGTGCCGAAAAAGAAACTCAGTTGCTTTTCTGTGTCTAAAACCCCCCCAAAAAACCCAACCCCACTGAAACATATAATACCC